ACCAGAAAACCAAACGCATGTACCAATATCAGACTAAACCCAGATTAAAACTGGATAATTTATTCTTTTGAAACTCGCTTTAAAGTTTTACTAAAACCAGTTGAAACACAAAAACACTAAAAGAACCACACAAAACACAACTATCTGTTTTTGAAAAAGGACAAAACCAAAGAACAAAAGAGAAAAACACCTGATGAAAAAACAAAAGGTTGAACACGAAAAAAGAGACGGTACAAATATACTACCACAACAGGCTTAAACCGACAATAAAGGACGTCCTAAGCATGCTCTATTGCCGCCCTCATCATTCGCGCTAAGCCGAGCTTATGACACGCTCCTTTTGTTGACGAGAGTAGCTCTAGGGTGAGCATCTCTGTAAAATAACCGAAGCTAATAAAAACGCTTTTGCGAAAAAAATTAATAACAAACACAACTAAAACTGATTTCACTAACAAGATGCAGATATGAATAAATAAAGCATAAAGATTTCTTAGAGCAAACGGAACGAGCAGCAAAGGGAGATAAAACCGACTCTGGAATGTATTCTGGTCGTAGTCAGCACCCTCACAGGAATTACAGTATAGAACCAACATCGCAGCAAAGGAACCCATTGAACAAAAATAATGGCCATATCGATGTTGAATTCAATCCGAATTCTAGTCACTTGGCGCTTCACTCAGAGAGTTCAAACTTTATCTCGCTATTCGGTGAATAGTTGAGAATGCACATAGTCTCGCTCTACTTAACGAAATCGAGACGTCACTGTATAATTCTGCAACCTTGACACGATCCCTCAACTCAACCAAGATACACGAAACCCACTTCTGAAATACGAGCAACTGTACACCTTTTCTCTTTATAAAGACAACTACTCCACAAGATGAGCAACTGTTTCTCTCTCTTCCTTCACTCCTTGTGCCTCGTTATGGTAAAGGTCGCTATTAAGTCCACAACCAAAAATGAGTATTCGCTATTGTATGAGCAGACTTTACCACTTAATCAGACTGCTAATTTCGCCTGTTTGCATAGTTCAGACATAAGTTGTGCAGCCATAAGTTTGGAGGCACAACTCGTCTTTTTCAAGAGGTCGTTCGTTAGAATCATGAATGGAATCATCCGATCTTCCAAAATATTGTAATTGAACCACAAAATTGGAATCAGTTCCAAACTAGTATTTATAAACCATTTATATTATTGATAAAACTATCTCTATAAAATATTACTAACTAACCAATCATATTCCATCTCTAACAATGACACTTATTTGTAAGTGCTGAAAGTACTTGTAGTTACAGCACCAGAACAATTTGAATAAATCTTAGAATACAGTTGTTCTCCTTCTGGATAAACTGCAAGAACTAACACGCGAAAACCAGTATACACTAGATCTATTGAGATAATGAGATATAAGAGTAAGATTAGGATTGGCATTAGACTAAGAAGTTGCATGAATCTATCCGACCGAAAATAAAATAGCGTGACGAACAGACGGTGTACCTTATCTGAAATTACTCTGTGAGTGAGCCACCCCGGACTTAAGCTGACAAAGTTTTTGATTGTTTTTAAGCGCTGAGTGCTTTATGTCTCTTAATTTTTCTAACTTCCATATTTCAGTTCTTTAAATTTTATGTCAACATCCTGTGAAAAATTTGAGTTGTAGCCTGCACCGAGCGCCCATGATCATTGACCTTGTTGACTATAAATATATTTTACTTAAAAATGAACAAATTTGTCCATTAAAAATGATATGTTGTAACCGATTACATTCAATTACACCAAATTTTTTTAAAATGCAATGAAAGTTGGCATTTAATTGAGATAAATTTTGCTGGCTTGCTTTCCAGTTTCTTCATTTGCCGTATAGTTTAGTTGCTTTTTACTAAGTTATATTACTTTTATTACATTAAATTGTTTTTTGTTAATTTTAGTGTTCGTCTCATACCGATTTAAATTGTCGATTTCTCTATCTGTTCCTCAGGCTATCCTGCTAAATGTGGTAGACAGAAAGTATTTGTGATGAACAGCTGAATACTTGAAATTTTTTTGAAATTATTTCAAGTCGATTAAATTGATTTCTCAGCCCGCCTCAAACGCTACCGAGATGCTATTTTGAAAAAAATCAAGCCAATTACGAACAACAGTTTCAGGCATTTATTGGAGTGTTTAGCAGAACCCTTATTTATTGAAAAATTTAGCTGACCGCACTCTTCTTAAAATTTGTACATCTTGGCGCAAAAAATGTCTTCAGAAAAAACGTAGGGTCGTTCAGCTAAAAATGGACGCCGTAATTTATTACTGAAAGGGGGCTCCTAGAGGGGTTGGAAAGCGTCTGTGATCATCTAGATCCCCCACCCCCAAATCAACTGCTGATGGTAAAAAATGCTATTATAGTTTATTTTAATCAATTAGAGACATCAAAGAAACTCTTGCAAAATATTAGAACAAAAACTTTCAGTACTAGAAAAATAGATTATGATTGATTAGGGTGCTTTAGAATTTTTTTAAATTAATGAGTTATTGTGGAGTATCTTGACAAAAACAATCAACTTCATGGCCAAAATTAATGGAATATAATTGACTATAAAAAGGATCGTAAGAGATTTTTGTTTGTCATAAATAATGGAGTATATTGACAGTATGATCAATTTTGCGGTCTGAATTTTACATCCGTATTCGATAATAATAATTTTTTTGTCTCGGAAATCCATTATAATAATTGTTATCTATTATACTTAAATGCGGGAGAAGAGCCAAAATTTCGATACGTGAATCTAATTGGTTTAATTTTAGGAAGAAAGAACAAAGAAAATTGTCACCTTGTACCATCGAAAAGAAGCTTTTATTTTGACATGAAGGCTTGAATTTGAAAATGGTTAATTCGCCCACTCAAAAGCGGCTAAAAGGGCTCAAGATATTGTTTTTATTAAATTCTCTAAAAATACTGTCAAGTTTTGTTTCAGAAAACTCAAGTTGCCTAGTTTTGACAAAAAATTTAAACTGTTTCCGAATTAAGCAACAAGACTTCTCGTATCAGGGCGAAACCCTGAATGTTCTAATGAAGGTCTATGGAGCAGTAATAATTTGAAAAATTTATATGTAAAAAAACGCCATTTTATGTACAAAGTGATAGATTTTGCTCCTATTAACAAATCAATTGTGGCATATAAGCTTCCTTGAACCAATTTGGAGCAATTTATTATACGGATTGAATCTCCGCTTACGCGCTAATAGCGCGAAATATGTCGCGCGTTAATTCTCTTCAGATGGCCAAAATGTCAACCTTTAAACCACCGTTAACTTTACGAAAATGATCAAAGGTGAAATATTTTTCAAAATTAGCTCATGGCAACAGTATCTCTTGAACTTTATGAACAAATTCCATCAGAAATGGCTAGTTAAAAGTCGAAATTTGTCTGAAGAAAAAAAATCCCACCCCGAGCACAAATATTCCGTTACTTTTGTTACAAAAGTCGAAACAACAATTAAGTTTTGCCTAAAACTTTTGATTGCCTGAAGATATATTTACCATGTTCCCTTCACAAAAACCTTTACCTCTAAATACAATCTCGATAATTTTTGATGCAAATCATAAAAACAAACATTTTTTGGTTTATCTGAAAGGGACACATTATTTTTTGTGACATAAATCTCTGTTTGCTATAGCTTTTTTAGTGGTCAATTTTTAGAAAATGAGATCAAAAGCCAAATGATACTAACTTGATTGGCATTCGATCAATGAATCTACTGCTACCAACAAGATCAATTCATTGTTTCCATTTTATTTGAATTCAACCACAATGAATTAGCTCCCCTTTAAAAAACAATCAAACTGATTGTTCCGACATTCGTTACGAAAGTAACGGAAAATTTGTGCTCGGGTGGGTTTTTTTCTTCAGACAAATTTTGACTCTTTAACTAGCCATTTTTGACGGAGTTTTGTTTTATGTCATTCAAAAAATATTGTTGTCCTGAGCCTAAATTTGAAAAATTATTTCACCTGTGATCACTTTTCGTAAAGTTATGGGGGCTTAAAGATTGCCATTTTGTATTTAATCCGTCCTAGAAATCGTTCCAAATTGGTTAAAGGAAGCGTAATTGCCATAATTAATTTGTTATTAGGAGCGAAACTTATCATTTTGTACTTTATATGGCGTGTGTTGGGATGATTTTCACATAAAATCTCAAAATTAAAAAAAACGTGTTGTATTTTTTGCACTTATTTTTTTCATGCTATTACTGCTCCATAGACCTTAAAAAGCAGTCGGGAGACTCAGGACTTCGCCCTGATACGAGCAATCTTGTTTCAATTTAAAATCGAAAAATTTGAAAAATTCGGTTAATCAATGTTTTGTTGTCGTGTCTGTACAAAACAGTCCCATACTCAACAGTTCAATGCAAAACAGTCCGGAAAAGTATGAATATTAACGAAAAAACAGTCCAATACAAAACAGTCCGAAATACAGTCCCAAGTAATAATTGTTTTAATTCGGTAGGCCGAGGAATGTCTTTTGTTCAACAAACATAACGTGTTGCGAGCTTACCAACAGAGGGTCGGAAAGAATACGAAACTTAGAGTTGGTTATCGCCGCAAAGCGGCGACGCGCGCGTAGCGCGCCCACCGGCGACCTTAAGCCGGACTGTTTTGTATAGGACTGTTTTTTCCCTTCATTACATGACTTTTTGGACAATTTTGTATTAGACTGTTTTGTATATGCACCTTTTTTTGTATATATAAAAAAAGAATTCTCAGCAAGGATATACTGCATATTTTTTTAAGAAGTATCTGCCAATTTTGATGCAATCATCAAAAAAAATTATTGTTTATCTGCGTTTCACGTGAACTAAAAAATACTTGAAAAAAATCAATCGAATGAGCTTTGTTTCCTTTATTTTGATCAGCCAATTAGAAATAAAAGAATAAAACCCAGACGTTTTTTGAAGATTAAAAATTATTTGACCGCCTAACGGCTTAAATGATTGTCTTCATTTTTCTATGATTTCAGCTTAGAATTTTTTTCTGAAAATTTGAAACTTTTGAAGCTGTAAAACAATTAAGACAGCTGCAAAATGGTTGCAAACGTGACACTCGCTGCCATCGAAACTGGGTTCTGGGTAAGTATCAATTGTCGACAATCTGATTGTAGGATCTTAGTTCTACCTATAGGTTCGTGCTTACAACCATTTCTTGGATCCAGCCAACACTCCCCCTTTGTTCTGGATTTTCCTGATTTGTTGTGAGGATTATGGAGTTATGGGTGTGCCTTAATTTAGACCAAATTAAATAAAATTAAAATATGTTAAGTGCCAAACACGAACGGAGAGCGTGAACTAAAGTACTAACTACCTGTTGGACAAAATTTGGGTAAAAAGCTTAAAAGAAACAAAAAGAGAGCTTTTTCCAAACAATTTGGGACTTCTGTAGAAATATGGGGTTTCTGTAGACATCGACATTAAAAATAGTTTTTGAAACTGCTCTAAAAAGATTCTAGATCTACTCGTGGCCGATACCAATAATGCAATTGAAGCATTTTATATTCCTGCATTCAGAATAAACTAACTTTGTTTATGATTATAGGAATGTGTTTATTTCAGGACGAGTTCGTGTTGCCGCTTGGGGAGATAGAGACAGAGAGTGTGTTGCAACTGAGGCTGATGATGATCATCTGGCTGTCCCTTGCAGTCTCACTCGGCATTCCTGGAAATCTGATGGGTGAGAAAGAAGTTTTCTCGAGGACTCCCTGGTTGGATTCTTCAATTAAACGTTTACTGTGAATTTTAGCTACATAATATTGGCCGCGAAAAGATATTTCGGAAAAATTGCCTACTATAAAACACACCCCTCCTCCTCTCCTGCTTTCTATTTATCCTCCCCCCCCCCCCCCCTCCCCAGTCGCCATTCTGGTGACAAAAAATAAAAAAGATTATAGCCCATCAAACTAGAGAGGCAAGACGGAATAAGGAAGGGGGTAAAGTTAGTGCAAGCCAAAATTCATGAAGCTCTAAGAGTGATTTGTTTTTATTTTCTCAGTGATCTTCTCGATCGCCCTTGTGAGACATCTGCGTGAACTGCACCACCTGTTCGTGGCCAATCTGGCCCTGTTCGATCTGGGCAACATGGGCATGTTCTGCTTCATGCTCTACGGGGCCATCTTCGGAGGGGAGTTCCTGGCCACCCACAGAGTCATCTGTGAACTGTCTGCCATCCTGTGCATGATGAGTTGCTTCGGCAGTCTCTGGACCATGATGTTTGTGGCAATCAACAGGTTCATT